TGTAATCACTTGACTACTTCCCAAGGATGAGCGAAACGCAGAATACCAGTTTTATTAGGCTAATGTATAATTTCAATGAGAAAAAAAAGTGATTATATTTTGATGTAAGAATACAGTGACTCACATAAGTATGCATACCCCTTAACTTGTCCACATTTTTTCACATTACAACCACAAACAAATATTGTAAGATTTTATCTAAAAGACGAGCAAAAAATTTAAATACGTTAATAAAACAGAAAATATATATACAATATAGAACATTTGGTATGTTTATGTATATTGTTATGCACAAAAGTATTCAGTCCCAGGAAACTCACTGCTTTTAAAAGTTGCCTGACGAATGCTAATGATTATATAGAGTCCACCTGTGTGTAATCTAATCTTAGTGCAAATACAGCTGATTTGACGACCATAGAGGTTGGTTAAAAAGATATTAGGAAGAAAACAGCATTATGCAATAAATGGAACACAACAGACATGACAGGGATAAAGCTGGGAAGATTTTTAGAACAGGCTTAGGCCATAAACAGATTTCTCAACCACAAGATAACTATTAGTCATGCAAATATGGTATTTGTAGAAAGAAATAAGCCATTGTTAAAAGAAAACTATAAGTTTAGTTTGCAGTTAACCAGAAGCCATGTTGAGGACAGAGTAAACATCTGGAAGAAAGTGTTTTGGTCAGACAAGACAAAAACTGAACTTTTTGCCCAAAATTGATTGTTACAATGGCCCAGTCAAATTCCTGACCTAAGCCCAATTGAGAATCTGTGGCAAAATCTGAAAACTCACATTCACAAGTGTTCTCTCTGATTTGCAAAGAACAGAGAAAACCTTCAGAGCTAGATGCACTGATAGTGACAAACCCTAAATGACATGCAGCTGTAATTGCAGCAAAACGTCACTCATCAAGGTATTGACTAGGGGGGTTGCTTGCACAATGCTCTTTTCAGTCTTGTAGTTACAATTAAAGGAAATAATATATCTTTTCTTTTTTTACTTAAAAAAACACT